CAAGCTCAGCCTCCTGTACCCACCCTCCGCCGCCCACCCCTCCATATCGCCCTCGTCCCCGTCCGCACGCACGCTGCAGGCGCTGCTGGAGAGCTGGGTCGTGGACGCGGGGCTGTTTGCCAGGGCCGGCCAGCTGATCCCCGCTGATATGCCGCTGATGCAGGACCCGGTGTTCGTGCGGGATCGCGAGGATTACACGGGCAGGAGCTGGAGTAAGCGGGCGTTGGAGAAGGCGAGGCCCGAGGCGTTGGTCGAGGTTAGGGCTGGGTTTGAGGTGTTGGAGAGCAGGCTGTTGGGGGATGGGAGGAGTGGGTTGGGGGGCTGAGGGGCCGGGGGTGTTGGATATTGAAGGTATGTTATGTTGTGTTGTGTGGCGTTATGTTATGTTATGTTATGTCCCAGCCAGCAAGCAAACAAGCTTGTACAGGTAATATGCAAGGAAGGATGTGTGACTAAATCTCGTGTGCAACAGCTGTCTGGGTACCCCACTGGCTCCGCAGTCTCAAAGGCGCACTTCCCAGCAACTACATCTCTGCAACCCAGTTCCCGCTCACATTCGCCTGGATCCAACGCTTCGACAGCGCAGCCAAAGCCGCCGCCTCTTCATCTCCTCGCGCGCCTAAGATAACGCCAGAAGAAGCGTTGGATATTGTTGGGAGAGGCAGTTTTCCTGAACCCGAAGGAGATGTGGAGGTTAATGATCCTAGTGGGTTGAAGAAAGGGGATGAGATTGAGGTCTGGCCGATTGATACGGGGTTTAATCATAGAGATAAAGGGCGTCTGGTGAAGTTGGATGGGGCGGAGATTGTTATTGAGGGGAAGACGGTCAAGGGAGGTGCGATTAGGATTCATTGCCCGAGACATGGGTTTAGGGTCCGCAAGGTTGCAGGTGATGCGAAGCTGTAGTGTATGTGTAGGCTCTGATGGAAATATTATAACCCATGTATGATTTATGCTGCTGCTTACCGTACGATGTGTATATAGATGAGGAGAAAGCGTTAACTGCTTCGAGCTATGTATCTTAGGTGTACAGAGTCCGAGTAGAAGGACACCGCACCAGAAAATCCCTTCGTGCTTATATGCACGTGCATCCATCCAAGCGACGTACAGTATATAAATCCAAGAGCTCATCTCGTAAGAACCAGGCAGCCTCTTACATCTAAACTGGCTTACTTGCTTACTTTCCTACATTGGGTATATATACCTAGGTACTTCTTCAAGCAAAGGATAACCACTCGATAGACAGATATCAGGTGCATCAAACCATGTAGCATGGCCATGAAAAAAAAATGAAAAAAGAGGAAAGAAAGAAAAGAAAGGGGGAAAGAAAGAATATTCACGCGCGCCTTGTATCCCAAGACTTTTCCTTTCTCTTATGAGGGCGGTTGACATGGACAGTGTGTGTGGAACGGAATGAGTGCATTGGAATAGCTTGACGGGAAACGTGTTATTGACAGCAATTAATCAAAGCTGTGTTTACTTATCATTAGTGGGATGTTTATATCCCCGTTTCACTCAATGCGTTTAGAAATAGCGTTCGGAATATTGCTAGCACCACTAGTTTCAGAGAGAGAATTTATGATTACCGTTTAATCGGAACATAGGTAAGGGCTTATGATCCATGAATGGTATGTGACCTGAAGCTTGGTATAACTACGAAGAAATGGTTCTTTTGAAGAAGCGAGGACAGATTTCTTTTCTGTGGAAAGCTCGGTTTGTCTCGTATGACTGTTTAGGCATTGCTTTCCTACTGAGCCGTTTATGTCTGCCTCCCGGTTTTGGAGTGCGGGAGCGATGATTATGGGGGGATGGAACAAGACAAGGATGCAAAGGGGGTTTGAGAGTGGATGGTGATTCTTTTTCTAGGATAATAATAGGCTGGGATGTCTTGACATCACTGATCCCGCTCCGGCTTTAAAGGAAGCATAGAAGGTATAAATAGGTCTCGAGAGGTAATATGAATAAGTTAACTATATGTAGGTAGACAAGACGATATTTCAATCCTGCTGGTACGTAGTAATGTTAGGAGACGTTGAGGCTCGAGAACTCGAAAGAAGGAATGGAAATCATGAAACTAGATCTGGAGACTGCAAAGGTTGTTGGCTAAGTTGAACCTGGTGAAAATAGAATGAGAATTGACAGCAGCCTGTTGCTTGACAGGATAATTTACTTGACAACAGCTTGCTTTTGAATGGTCTTTATAATCTGAAGCAGCTTGTTATTTGCCTACATTGACAACTTTAATGAACTTGTTCTTTAATAAAAATGATTATCCTTTGAATTTCAAGACATACAGCGCGGCCGTGGCAATGTCTGTGTATTTGCCGACAATGCAATAATATTAATACTGACAACCGTTACTACAGGTAGTATATATTTATACTCCATTCTCTGGAAGCTCTTGCCTTCATGTGCTATTTGCTAACCTCAAATGCACCAACGCATCCGCTGTCGGCTTCCTCGCAAGAGCAGTCGGAGAAGCCTATAAAACCATCTGCTCGCATGACTTTTTCTAATTATCCGCCCATCAATGAACCAGAGAGATGTGCAACATGTCCAAGGTCTAAGTCCGTCGGTCCAAGATCCTAGACCCATACCTCAAAAGATAATATAGGAAATACCCAAGTTTCTCGAAACGAGCTAACTATTCTCCTAGTATGCCGATTCGAATTCCGTTAGCGTATAGAGATCTTTTCAAAGCTTTCGCAAGAGCTTTTATACCCCACCCTCTATTCTTTATTTGCCAATAACACGAACGTTCCAATTCCATTTCAACGACTTGCCAACTAATCCAATCTTTAAGCTAGGACTCAAAATTCATATATTTCCTTAAAAGTCGTAAAAGAACATAATCTTTAAGTTTAAGTGATGTTGTGGTATGGATTTCAGCAGCCGGGGGATTTGAGCATCTTCTTGGAAGGCGAGAACAGATTTACTAGATGGTGTCTTAGAGAAATCGTAGCTTTTTTAAGTGGTGTATCGGAAGTAGTAGGGTCGTCCTCCTGGTGACTCTTTCTGTAATTGTCTCTGTTTTTGTTTCGTCTGCTTTGTACTTCTCTTCTCAATGAACATGGTCGGAGAACTAGTGTGGCTGCTTTGGGCTAGCGTTAAAAGATTACGCGAGCAGGCTGTTTGTCAGCGGGCGCCGCGCCTCAAAGGAAGCTTCATCGTTGCCTTGAGACCCCCATCTTATCTTCGACAACCACAATCACCACCATCCACGCACATCGACAACACCTCGCCGGTATCATTCCACGACTTAGAAGAGTGTGAATATTGGCTCACATTGCACGCGATACCGCTGGGAAGTCTGGGAGGATAATAGTTGGTCTGCGGGAGAAGAAACAATCGCTGGTGGGAGGAGCTGAGCTGCTTTGTTTGTCGCTTTGTCGTGGAAGGAGTCAGCGCAAACTCAAGAACGTCGCTCATTACACTCGCAGCTTTGCTGCAATCTTGTATATCATTTCTTTCCTTCTCCAGAACGTGTTTCTGTCACAAGAGTTATCTCCAGTGATTGCAATCAGAGATTTGTATTCACCCTCGTTCTCCTGAACGGAAAAAAAGAAAAAGAATCTTGATCTTGCCACGGTCGCATTCACGAGACACTTATCCCCTCCCTTTCTTTGACTCACAAGCGCTCATCTACGAGCTCTTTATTGCTTTGGAATAGTCCTGTTGCTCTGTATCTTCATCTTGGTCTCGAGACCACATCTTCGACGAACTTCAGCACCCTCGACTCATCACCCTACCTCTTGACATCATGTCGTCGTCCGTGTTCTTCAAGTTCAAGTCCCAGAGAGAACCATCTAGAGTGGAGTTTGATGGTACTGGTATCTCTGTTTTTGAACTGAAGCGTGATATTATCATCAAGAGCGGCCTAGGTGACGGAACAGAATTCGACCTCGCAATCTACAATGAAGATGGCAATGAAGGTAAGCGTCAGGTGAACATTAGCCGTGGGCCTACTAACAATGATATAGAGTACGATGACGATACTACAATTATCCCTCGATCGACTTCAGTCATTGCCCGTCGGTTACCACCCATCAAGCCTGGAGCAGGCCGAGCCGCAAGGTACATGTCAGGTAAAATGCCTGTCAGTATGAAGAACTCCTCTCGTAAGGAACAGTCATCCAGCAAGCCGACTGCAAAATCTACCACTACAACCATACCCACCCAGATGAACAGTGCCATGACCGAAGAACAACGCATAGCAGCCATGTTCGAAACCCAAAACGAACAATGGTCTACACAACAAGAAGAGATGGCAAAGTAAGTTTCCATGCTATCTAAATTAAGACAGCTGACTGACATCCTCTAGTCAAACCCCAGTGTTTCGACCTGGCGGTAAGAAAAACCAAGCTGCCGCAAATGTTCCAGCCCATGATCCTCCAGTCGGATACATTTGTTATAGATGTGGAGAGAAAGGACATTGGATTCAGCTTTGTCCTACGAACGACGACCCAAACTTTGATAATAAGCCTCGAGTGAAGCGGACTACGGGTATTCCAAAATCATTTTTGAAGACTGTGGAAAAGCCGGCCGCTCTCATCAATGATGGAACAACGGATGACACAAAGCTACCATCAGGTGTTATGGTTAATGCTGACGGAGACTTTGTTGTTGCGGAGCCAGATAAGGCGTCTTGGGAAAAGTTTCAGGCAAAGACCAAATCTTCCGCTGCTGCACAAGAGAAGGCTGCTGCTGGGAACAAGGAATTACAGGATAGAGGTCTGGAGTGTTCTATCGACAAGAAAATCTTTATAGACCCAATGAAGACGCCATGTTGTGAGAAGACGTATTGCAATGATTGCATTACTAATGCTCTTATCGAGACCGACTTTACATGTCCCGGGTGCCAGAGCGATGGAATTCTGATTGATGATCTTAAGCCTGACGTTGAGACATCTGCAAAGATTAAGGCCTATCTCGATGAGATGACCGCTGCTAAGAGGGAAAAGGAAAGGGCGGAGAAGGCGAGATCCAAGAGCCCAAGTGTAAAGACCGAGTCTACACCTGCAGTGGAAGAGACAAAGAAAGCCAAATCAAAGTCACCATCACCAAAATTACCCGTACAAGTCCAATCCCCAGCAAACTCACCATTACCAGCGAAATCAACCATCAACCCTGAAAAGGCCCCCGTAAAGGAAACTTTGGCTCCTGCTGCCAAGAAGAGACCGGCAGATCAATTACTTGAGAATCCCAAAATCCCCAAAGCCCCCAAGGCAATGCAGCAACAAGAAGCACAGAAGCAAGCGATGCTGCAACAACAAGCCATGATGAACGGCATGCCGGCCTTCCCCAACATGGCCATGCCCTTCGACATGTCGCAGAACTTCTACGGCGCTGCCAACGGTGGCATGAACCTGAACCCCATGATGAACGGCTTTGGCATGAATCCTATGATGAACCCAATGATGAACTTTGGCGGGTTTCCTAATAACAGCATGAATATGTATAATAATGGTGGGGGAGGTGGATACGGCGTCGGCGGGAATGGGAATATGATGAATGGCGGTGGCCAGGGAAATCACATGAATGGGAACGGAAATCAGCACGCAAACATGAATGGCAATGGCAACCGCGGTGGTGCCACTGGTGTCGGAGGCGGGTTTTCCAACCAGCAGAAGACCGTCTTTGCGGACCCGTTGCCAAATGAGGAGGATAATGCGTATTTCCGCAAACCAGTCAATCCGCATCGACATCAGGGACGGCAGCGTAGAACGCGGCCGAGTGATTATCGGGAGCTGTAAGATGGTCGAGGGCTTGCTTACTCCGTATGGATCTCTTCATTCTTCATTCGAGGCTTTCATCTCTTTACAATACGCCTCTTCTCTACGACATCACGAACAATTAGAGTACAGTACATTACACTGTACATTGGCGTTTGACAACTCCACATCAACGAACAAAACAACACAACACAACACAGTACAGTACAGCATTACAAGGCGTTAGGGAGTAGGTGGTTATCAGTGCATCACGGCATTGTATTGCATGGCATGGCATTACATTAAATGCATTTTCAGCGTGGTATGGGTGGGTGGGTTCTGCCAGCCACAGACAGGTATGGCTGGCATAGTTTTGGTTGCTTGCTTAGTTGGTCTTCTAGATGTATGCATACGGACAAAATCCAGATGGATAGAAATACAAAAATACATTTGACGTCTATACGTCACTCTCTTATTCGCTCGTGACTTTAGTGTTACATTGCATTACCTCACTTCAGGGGTAGGGACAGGTAGCAGTGATTCTCGTGATTGTCGACTAAAAGGGGTTTTAAGGAGAAAATTTATTTTAATACATCCTCCTAATCGTTTGTTTTCATTTTATTAGACTGTGATGTGATGCCTAACCCCTTTCTTGGACCGCCTTGCTTGCTGCAGCTACAGCAGCCTTACCTTGCTATGTCGTGTCGTGTCGTATTATTATGCAGCATTCTCCCAACAAACGCAGCGCGGTGCAGTGCGGTGCTGTTTACCTGAACAACACATCTCCCTACCCCTTTCCCACATTCCATACCAAACACATAATCAAGATTTTCAATCAATTAAATCCCTCCCTTCAGCATCCAGCAGCGATGAATGAAACACTCTGCTTTTTATCTCCTATCTGGGATAATCTTTCCATAGATATGATAGGTAACCATCAGATGTGATGTGAGAGGGGAGGGACAGGTCGCACAACATGTTTATATATGACTGAAATAGTTCGTTACACTTGGGCTTGGGCTTTCGTGTGTATGCATGTATGTATGTATGTATGGTAGCGGGTATGCTTTATCTACGAAGGATGTTGTACTTGTATAACCGTGGGGGGTTGAGTTGGCAGAACGGATCGAAGTGGGTGGGGGGGATTCAATATAAGGAATCTGAAAACTGTTGATTTGATTACCGACATGTATGTATATAAGGTGTAAGATTCAAGATAGATTCGATGTGAAGGTAGAGTGGGATGAATCGAAAACATGTGAGTGCCACTGAGTGGATGCTTATGCTTATTTGAAAAGCCGCTTTGAAGCGCAGCATAGAGAATGATTCCTGTAGTATTTATTAACTCCTTGCAGATATTAAACGAAAGAGAACTAGAGATAGATGTTTAGCTACATTCTCGGAAAAGCTTTCTATCGTTTTCCTTCCTTCTGATACATATATATATATCCTCGTATATGCATCCCCTTTCAGCTGAATACCGATACCAGCACGAAATATCCGAACGTTGTAAGCTGACTGACGAAATGCCACGAGTACGTCCCGTCTCTTGCCTTGTTTGTGGGGTTATAAATACCCTCCGCTGGGAAAAATCCGGGGTACTTGTACGGTACGGCAGTACGATACGGTTTCTCTGGAGATTAAAACTGTATCTACGAAGTACCTTACCTTATCTCCATGCATGCAGACAAGCAGGTACTTTACGGAGTATACTTCAGAGAATGTAGTTGGTAGCGCAGCATAAATTTAGTACACCAATGAATGTAATATTATCGTGATCGCCCAAACCAGAACCCCGGTATTTGGTATGATTAGTGGAGAGGGGGAAGAGGGAGAGAAAGGAAGCGTCGGGATAATTCGTTTTGGAAGACCTATCTAGGTATGTACCTTACCATCATCTCCTATGCAACCTTTTATTTATGCCATACTTAACTCTATGTTTACCGAAGTTCCTGCTCCTGCTCCCGATCCATCTGACGAGCCTCGCCTCTATTATACTTGACCTTACCTTACCAGAAGAGGGGATTAGTTCTGATGTAATATCTATGGAAGCGATCCAAGGACATACAAAGTATAATTATTTTTGGTAATCGGGCTTGGACAGAACGAACAGCTCATCTCATCTCATCTCGGGTCGGATGCGCGGAAGGAAAGGCCCGTTCCTGTTTCAAAATCTATGAGATGAGGTAAGACATCAGATTGCAAACAGAACATGATACCGTAACCTTTCCTTATTCGCTATTTTCAGTCAAATGAGAGGCTACACGCTTCGTCAGGCATCTGAGGCATGACTGAGGATCCAAAGATGTCGTTTGCGAGGAAAGGTAGGAAGAGATTCGGGGATTCAGAAGGCAGGAGGCCGGAAGTACTGCAAACGCAACGTAGCCTTCAATACGAAGTAGATTGGATCGAGTTACACGATGAGAGTGAAGGAGGAGGGAAGTGTCCGTCAGACCGCCACGCTTTCCGTCTCCACGCTACACCCCCACGAAATCATCCGTACTTGGTAAGCCTCACCCACATTCCAGTCTTCCCCATCCCCATCCCATGCCCCAGTAGTTCCCCCCACTCACTCCCCATGCTCCGCTCCCATGCCTACGAAGTACTGTATCCTATGCCCCAACAATCCCCATCCCGATTCTAGCCCCATATCTCATTTCCTATTCTGGTCCAACCCAACCCAGCACCCGCCCAGCCCCTTGTCCATCCATCCATCCATCCCATGCCCACTCGTGGACAACCACCTTCCTACCGTATACCGGTGTTTGTGATCGTATGGTACTGTAGCCTACCGACATCTTCACCGCTTGATCAGATCATTCTGACCAAGATGTGCGTGGTATTTAAAAATCCCCAGACCGTACGCTACGGTAATCGAGAGTAAGAGTACTCCGTAGCAGCGCAGCTAAGCATGAGGACACTGTGGACTTTTAATTTGGCTTGGGTGATGTGGCAGATTTTGGGTCCACCACCAGGGGTACGGTACAGTACAGTGCTCCATACGGAAACAGAGCCAGATGTCCCAAGCAAAGCCGGCACCAGCCCACAATCCCGGTCCATGTTAATATAAATAGCGTGAGGTGAGAGAAGCCGACGTTCTGTTCGAACTTCTATCCCACGAAATAGAAAATAATATAAATAAAAGCAGCCAAGACAGGACGTTCTATTCCAAGTTAAGGCAAGGCTGAACTGCATTATTGGGCCTCGTTACTATGTCAGGATCAGATCACTATTTTATTCTGGTATGATCATCAACATTGATTTCCGAATTCAAGTACCTCGGAAGGTCTGGCTTGACTTGCCCCTTCCAGCTACGCACGCTTCGTTGAGTTTCCCTTTTCTTTCTTTTTCCGCCACAGAATAAACAGAGCACGCAAGTTCGGATTCCGGGGGAGTCGGGTACATCCGTTTAAGTCAAAGCGTGGAGTACTGGGTATCGGTAAGGAACATTCCTAGCAGCGACTGGGGTAGGTGGTTAGAGTGACGAACGAGGCTGTCCGGAGGGATGAGCTGTCTTACTTTTCCGACTTTATTATTTTCTGGGGCTGTCTCTTCTGTTCTAGGATTAAGGGATGAGATGGCATGGCATGGGGGAGTTAGCTTCCCCGGAATGATAAAAGAATGGGTTTGCCCGTCTCCTTTACTTTTCCCTGGAAATCCTTTTCTTGGTCTTCATTGCCGTACCAAATCTACTGAATACAAGATACGTGTACTCGCTGTCTGCCTCACCTCATATCACCTCAGCTCACCTTAACTGTACCTCTTGACTTTATCGAAAAGAACTGTGGTCATTCAGGCTATAAATACTTTTCGTCGCCATCTACCAGTTGCTGCCAGTAAATATCCCCTCCCCAATATTTCAGCTCGTGTCTGCAATACTACAATCATATCGTATTCCATCTAACACGCCATACCAGCAACCCAGCCCATCTCAGACTCAATAAGCCTAATATCCGTCATCAATCTAATCCCATCCGTCCCACCTCGGCTCATACAATCGAAAAGAATCAATCTTCCCCCGGAAATTCTATTCTCCAACACCCGAAGTGACTTTCTCCTGAAAAGTTGATTCTCTCCTCATCTCATCCTCACATCACCAAAAAAAAACCCCCCCCCTACCTTATTCACAACCGACAATATGCCATCACAAACGCAAACCAAAACCCCCATCGCCCTCCCCATCCCACGCCGCCGTTCCCCCTTACTCAACAACCCATCCCTAGGCCAAGATCTCGACCTGTCCCTCTGCCTCCTAAATACTCACACGAAAGCGAAGAACCAGGGATCGTATAACACGTTTATTAGTCGGGATATGGATGTTGAGGTGGATGAATATTCACCGCCTGCGGCGCCGCCGCCAAGTCCGGTGAACTTTCCTGGTGAGAGTTGGAGTACTGCTTTGAGGAGGTAGATTGTGTGGGGGGAAAGGATATCTGTATATGTATGAAGGAAAGCGAATCAATGGTGCAACTATTGAGTATGATGGGCACGTGATTGGTCGATTGATGGCTGGATTCCATGAAAGAGAGAAATTGGACAGGATGTGGAGTGGTATAACGAATTTTCTTCTTGCAGCGCTGGATTTGCTTAATTTTTTTTAACTCTGTCACTGCTATTGGGGTGTATTGTTTCTGTTGCATGCATCATCATTGGGTTTTATGTTTGGTGGACATACATATATGGCAGCCGACTAGTCGCTCACGCGCGGGTTATGGATGGGAGTTTAAAAAGGGTCGTTGAGGTACCTTGGCTTTTATCGAGTAATATTAGGTGGGATGTGGGATTGGGGGATGATCAGTTGAAGCTGAAGCTAGATGTTCGAGATGCGAGCAGTTATTTTGTATTACCTATGCAATTGGACGCATGTTTGGTATTTCGGAAGTGTATATGTCAACATGAGAATATTGCTTGCATTGCTTGCTTGAATGGCGTTGCGAATAAATGTCGCTTTCTTGACATCTAGTTTTGGTCATATACAAGGTAGCGAGCAGGTCCCTTGACCAAAGACTAACCCTCATACGTGTATCTATCCGTCTTCTCAGGGCTCCTTCCATTCTAGGGGAGCAGCCGGAGAAGTGCATACCGGTATGAGCTTCACACATTCCGAATGTAATAAGTGTCTGTACAGTGTATCCGGAAGTTGACATGTTTCGATGTATATAATATATGTATGTTCCATACAAGCAAGTATGCTTGCTGAGTGAGAACCAAAGCACCCAACAAAGAGAGCAAATATGTCGCATCTAAACTAAACTGTATTTAAAGCAAGTCTCCGCTACTCAAATAAAGCAGTGAATTCGCCACTCCTTTACTCACCACCTGCGCTGGAACAGTGTATCAATTACCGCATATACCCGTCAGTGAGCCACGGCAAGACTCCATAGCTTCACAAGAGTATAAATATCCAACTCTCTTTTAACATCAGGTTCCTACCTATGCATTACAGGTTTGAGGAGGTAGGCTGTAATACATGGCTGAGACACACTTAGCTAGAGCAACACAGGAAGTACGTATCGAGGTTGTTTTAGCATTATAAATAGTCAGATGCGGTATACCTTAGAAGATGTTGGGATGATGTGGTGGTTGGATCTTTTGATTCATGATCTAAAAGCTTGATACCAAAGAAAAAGAAGTAAATTATGTATTGAAGAGAAGGAAGCTTGACAACTTGTCTAGAGGTGAGAGATGATTATAATTAAGTTAGGTCCCAAAAGATAATTAGGGGTATATATGCCTGCCAACATGCCCAAACCGGAATTCCAAGCAAAGCATAAGGGTGAATATCATCTAAGATAAAAAACGCCAACATGCATGTGCAACCTGTACCCCAACTATGATCCATAAAATGCAATACCATAACTTCAGCACTTCCACTATATCTATTAAAGCCCATTAATGAAACTTCTCATCACCGCTCACTCTTCCCCCTCCACCCCGCTATCCCCCCACCAAACCTCCGATTCCTCCTCTTCCGCACAACCTCCGCGTCCCAAACTCCAGCGAAAAGATCCTCGCATTCATCTTCATCCTCACTATCAAACACCACGATCCCATTCCCTATGGCATTCCCCTCTTCCTCTCCATACCCATCCTGTTCTCCATTATCTTTGTCTTGGGACCAAGAGATATCCTCCCAGCAAATGCCAGGTACAACACGCTTCATCTCCAGGATAAACTTCCCAATCTTATATCGCTGCGCCGGCTCCCGCGCATCCACGTACTTCCAACCCAGGATCGTGTTGCATATCCTGCAGCTTACGTCTGCGACTACGTGGGCGCCTGTTAGGAGATCTCTGTTGACAGCCCTTCCCATATTCGTGTTTATTAGATCTGTTGGGGGTAAAGGTGGAGGTAGAGGTTTGCCATTGTTCTTTGCGGACGAAGGAGTGGAGACATGGTGTAATGGTGAGGAAGGAGGAGGGGCGACGAGATATGCACGCCCGTGGCGGCCGGTGAAGCCTTTACTGACGATTTGGGATGTGAAAGCTAATTCTGTGGAGCATTTGAGGCATTTCAGGGTATTTGGTGCTGCTTTCCGTAACCTGGTTTCGATTCCGGCTTCTTCGCTCTCCGGGATGCCTTGGAGAGCGTGGTGGAGGTTCGAATGTGCGGTGAGGGGTGAGGCGGAGGTCGGTGATGAGGATGGGGTTGAGAAGGAGGAGCGGGGTGAGGAGGTTAGGGAGGGCACGGATGCTTCGGAGGTGCTGGAGTTGGATGTGGTTGAGGACTTTCGGCGCGTGAAGGGGAAGGAGAAGGCAGGGAGGAGGTAGGTTGGGAAAGGAGGTTGGTGAGGCGTCATTTGTTCGGTGAAGATATTAAGTCGTATGGAAGAAGTTGAAGCTGAAGCTGGAAAGAAGTCAGCCCAAGGGATACAAGTAGAAACATAAGTGAAGAGGGGCAGATGGCTAGCATACAATAATCTCCTCGTATGACGATTCGATCTGGATCATCAGTTCATCGACTTTAAAGTTTCGGCTTATGATGTTTCTCGAGGGAAGTGAGGGAGAGGGGAAGAGAAGGCAAATATGCCTTTTGAAAGAAGGCGTCTCATGTATATGTAATGGCCAAGTGCTATACTCCGATTTATTACTGTAGTAGTCATGTAGATGTGGAGTAAGTATGTATGTGCTGGCTCGCTGTTAAACCAGACGGTGATCATCTCCGAGCCTTGCTCGATCCCCTCATTTGATAACAGATTCGATAAGAGAATCCCTGCAACGTTTATTTTTAATGCATGCATTTGCGGATATAACTTCCTTTATTCCCAATAATCAGCTATCCCTTTGGTTTCCATATTTACTTTCTAAATTTCGTCCTTTCTATATCTATTCATCTTGAGTTTTCCAACCTCTAAGAAGCCCGATTTAGCTCCGCGCTTGACTCACGGATCATGTGCACTATTTATGAGGCAAGTCTCCGAGAACAGTTCCAAGTAGCAACCCCGCACTTTGCTACGAGGATGAACATTAGGAGTTAAGAGTAATAATATAACAATCTTGTTGGACTATAATGTATAGTTATATTAGAAGAATAACGAGCATTAAATACTTAGCTGCTTAAATTATTTTTATAGTAGCGATAAACCGAGGCCAAACTGACATAATATTCATCCAATCATAACGTCGTTCGTTCACTGTCTTCAGAACGTGCTGAGCTGTGATTGGTCATACGGCCACGTGATGATCTCGAGCGGGGCTCTGAATAATCTTCGGGTTCCACCAGTTCAAAGAATCGCTCCTCTCTTTCATCTTGACCGCTGTTCACTCTGCCACCAACAAACACAAACGCAAACGCAATTCCTCTAACACAAGCATTAAAAGCATCATCTGCTCCACAATCAATCAATCAATCCAGCCAACCTCACTACGATTTCCAGTCACACACAACCTACAAATCAATTCCCCGACGCAATCGTGGCAATAATCCTACAATATGTCGCCCAGTAAAAACAACGGTCATAGTAGTAGTAGTAATCGCAATGGCGAGGATGTCGTCCGACAGGCCAACGTTCTCGCCTCTGCCTACATTGTAGATGCCTCTGCGCGTCTCACCGGGTTCCATTACTCCACTACCGGCGCCGCGGTATGAATTGCCACATCCTCTCAATAGAATTCCAATTACTGACGAAGTATTCAGGAGCCCAGTGGCGTCCCTGAGGTCCTTAGGGACCAGGGACTCCCTTCACCACCGTCAAGTCCCCCTCTAGCAGCCCTAACCTCCGCCAACGAGATCACGCTTTCCAAATCCAACAAGCGCGACAACGATCATGGCAGGAACTCCAGGGGCCGCAAGGGGGCAGCATACACCATCCGGGAAGAGTGTGAGAGGCTCTTCTGCGGGACCATGAAAGGCGTTTTCCTTGGTGAAGAAGGAACGCTGTCTAGTGGCTCGTTCGGTATGGGTATGGATATGAACAATTACAACAATATGAACATGCATATGAACGATTCGCCTCCGAATGATGGGGGTATGGATGGATATTTCCCTACTACTACTGGTATAAATGGCAAGAGACAAAATATCGATGCTTGGATCGAGGTCTGGGATTATGCTGGTGGTTGTAGCTTCCGCGGTTTCGTGGGCGGGGATGGGGAGAACAAATCTCTATTTGCGTTCTTTGATTCTGCGGTTATTGGAAGGGATCTGAAACAAGGGTATGCTCCCCTACCCATAAGCTCCATTTTTGCTAACACATCTTCAGACTCATGGCACTCATCGAACTCGCCGAATCCGTCTTCGCAGTCACCCAAGTCGTCATCTGCGTCGATCGCTCCACCTCGGTCCAAGAAAACGAACGCAAAGCATTTCTTAAGAGTATCCGCTGGGTCGGCTTCGAACTTGTCTCCCTGGACCTTTGGGCAGGTGAGCTGGATGTTAGTAGTGAAAAGTGGCTTTTCTTAGGCATGGAAATTTAGTATATAGATAGCAACGGCAACAATTGGCTTTTTTGGAGCACGGGACTTAATAGCGTTTGCGCGGACATCGGGTTTACTTTCGTTTCATGGCGCTGATGGGGACGGATTGCATGTATGTACGTACATTGGGAGTTTAGCCGATCGATTTCCCCATAATTAAACTATGTTTCATTCCTCAAGTATTTCGTGATTGATTATATTAGGTATCTGGTACAATATGCTAGATTGAGACCTCAAGCGAGCGTTCGTCCGAACCGTGTTATTGCCCGGAAGTAAGTATCTATTCCAAACAGCCATTTATCGAATTTGATGCCGCTGCTGGCGATAGGCGGCGGGATGGAGCAGAAATCAAACTCGTCAAGAACAAATAGCATGCGGGGAAGTTATCAGCATATCTGTAAGAGCTTCCTTGAAGTTTATTCAAGGAGCAAAATATGCTGTTTGTGAGTGCTTTAAGCAAGATTAGCCACGCGCAGGCCGTTGAAAAAAGGAAAATCCGAGGAATAGCAGAATGAGGGTACACATAAACACTTCAAATTTCTTCAAGCTCCGAGACCACAAACAACAACAAAAGCTCACTACACAATTTATATGAATGATTCAAACCTCTCCAGCTTCTCAAAACAGCACGTATAAACCCCGTTGCTCCTAAAACCTTCAATCTATCTGACCATTGGCTAGTCTACTCTGGAAGCTTTCCCAACCTGCCCTACCAACACCGTACCATGCCATCTCTGTAAAGACCTGCTCCTCTACATTTACAAATATATCTCTTACAATATCCAGACCGATGCCCTCAAGGCACCTCGGACAAGACGCCATTCCCGGTACGGGTTTCCAACCGTTTCTTCCCCGTGCGCTGTACTTACAGAGTCCTAGAAAGCCATCCGATGACCACCGCCAATATTGTCCTCAGCGCTGTCGCAACTTTTGGTGTCCTTTGCTTCGCAGTAGCCGTGTTCATGTTGGTGATGTGGCGGGGAGCCGGCGTCAAGTTCTGCTCGTGTTGCAAGGGCTTGCCCTTCTGGAGATAGCACATGGAGCTGAAGGAGGTCTGGCATTGAGAAGGTGGGGAAGGACGATGATGGAAGAGGAAAGCAATGCTCTGTGAGAATCAGAATAGACTCAACTCGAAGGTTGACTCCGTCATCTTTGTCCTTTCTTGCCATGTAACCGGATTACAACAACCTGGATACTCAACGCTCTGGCATTTGTGAGATGGAAAGACACATGGGTGTCATTGAATGCCCGTTTTCAGGGGATTTGAAACGCTACATCTTGAAGTTTCTTCCTTTGACAGACATGCTTTGAACTTAGGGAATGTTCTTTCAGCTCTGAGCTTGTGATTAGCACTGTGAGTGCAAGCTTCTAGTATGATCTGCGCCCCCATGGTAGTTTCTCATAATGCCAGAATGAGACTGGAGTATTCCAAATCTTGTCAAGGCTTTCCCTGGTATATATATAGCTAACCATGGAACAGACTGTAGAAAACCATCATCCGCCTTCCCATCGTAAGACTTGTACCAAACTTCAAGCCTCTGCCTTCCAACAAACCACCGACACAAACACGCTTCGTACGATGCTCAGCGACGGCCACGGCGATAACTCCTGGGTCAAATTCGTCTGGATGAAAATGGCGCTCGCGTTCGCGACATTCATTGGTCTCGCGATTGTCATTGTTATCGTCATCTCGGTCAGGGCTCTTCGCTACAGGGACGATCAGGAACATTCGCAACGGAGCACTGAAGCTGGATCTGGATCTAGATCTGGAGCTGAACAACAGGGAGTTGAAAGTCAAGCTCGTGAAAATCAGGGGGCGGAGCAAGAACGCAGAAACCAAGTTGCTGGGTCTCCGGATAACGCAGCACAAATACAACATCAGGAGCGTGCAGTCAAATCGAGAGGAGTTTACACTTCTTTCCCATCTTCCCAACACAGTACTGTGCGGGATGGAAACCATGAACGCATATCCACAAAACTCGGAATGTAATTGACTATCCCCAGCGATGGCACTTTGGAGAGTCTTCCAGTCAATAAAAAGCACACTCCTCCTCTCACTGCATGGTCCACAACACCATGCACGACATTCACCTACCTCTCTGCCCCTACCATTCATACACCTCCCCTCCTCTCTTTCATATTCCCCATACATAACTTGACCTCTCTTTACCCGTCACCTTCCCCTCAGTTTTTACTAGCTCTACTCCACATACAACCAACATCTACCTCCCTCACTCACATCACAATGACCGACACCACCGAAAATACCGACACCACGCACAACCCTAACGATGACAAAACCTTCCGCAATTTCCAAAACTACTGGCCCTGGGCCACCATCCTGCTCTTCCTCCTCCTCCTCAGCTCTGGCGTCATCATCAAGTACCTCGCAGATGCAGTATCCGCACACCACGAGCGCAGACTCTTGAAGAAGCTGTGGAAAGTGGAGCAGAAACCGGTGAAGGTGAAAGAGGACGGGTTCACCATCGCTACGCTTACAGGCAGTTCTCGAGTCCGGCCTGTTGCGTATCCGGGGAGTGCGTTATTGCCGGCTCCGGTTGTGGCTAGTCAAAGGGCTTGAGTGAATCTAGCTGGACTGGACTGGGTGATTGGACATGAAATGAAATGAATGGAATTGCCGGAGATGTATGTATAACGAGCGGAACTTTTGGAGACGGGAGGAAGGAAGGAAGCATGTGAAAAGGATGGGCTTGGTGCAAAGGAATTTATCTATTAAAACGCCATTAAAACTACTTCTTATGCAGTGCAGTGAAATTTTAGAAATTCATTATTGTTCCGGTGAGGGAAGAAAGTGAGTCAAAAAGGAGCTTTGAGGTACCGAGAAAAGCATAGCATAGCAGTCTGCGTATCAAAAAGCCATTCTCGGAGTTCTTCATTCCGTATACCCGATAGGAAATTGTATCCAAAACTTGGCAATCCGTAATAGATTGAGATGTTGGAAATATGTAGGAAATACATACAGGACTACCGTGTTGGATGAGTGAGTATACGCGTTGTAATTCATGTTGTTATACTTTCTGAGGAATGACTTCATTCCCACCGCCCAGAACAGATTCTCAGATCTTAAAAGTAAATAATACCTCGCAACATCAAACATTTCAACGAAAATCAATCGATGTACTAACTCCTTCCTAGGTTCGGGTCTCGGAAGTTTGCCAGGCAAAGACTTGCTAGTAGCGACGGGGCTTGGAGGCTATGTGAAGACACGGCACGGCGAAGAAGGAAGGTCCTTGAGATCTGTCGAAACCGCTTTAGATTCTGTAAGCGGGATATGGACAAGAATAACCATGATGAACAGCCTAGGAATCGAATCCTATTCTGGAGTCTGCGCTGTGGTTATCGGGGACGCTGAACGCACGGGGATCGGATGGGGAGGTTTGCGTGGATTCGGAAGATATGTGCTGGTGGGGGTGGCATAAGGATTGCAATGGGTTTGGTAAAAGGACATCTAGATTCGTACATAGGTATAGGAAAGAAGGATGCGGATGTAGATGTGGATGTTGATGCGTGGCTCCAAGTGACGTCTAGTATGAGATCTCGGGAATAGAGGGGTTGATGTCTATCATTGAGAACGTCAGTACAGTACGTGATGATCTGAAATTAGAAGCAAGGAAGAAAAGGGCGCCAAAGGAAAATTCATGTGATGAACATCCAGTCAGTCACTTCTGCTCTGCCCAATTACTCCTTTACGGAGCACTGAAGGAGATGCGTTCCGTTCCGAAAAATCAGAGTTTCAGAACACGTTTGCATGTGAATTATGCAGCTTTGTAACTTCGTTCCGTGAGCTGGCAATTGCAACGACGGCTTCAACGGGACTCTGGCAAAGAGTCGTGGCGTTTCAATCCTTTGAAGCCAAGAATCTATACTTCGTAGATATTCTGGCGGTGCATTTATTAAACGCTACTGGAAGGGAGCTCCCGAGTGCCGAGTGGGGGCCAAGCCTAACTGTGGGGCGAATGTGAAAGTTGTGAAATGGCCAAGAAGTTTGTCTCAGACCTAGAGGCGTCTAAAAGTGGCTATTGGTCTTGGCTCGAGAGTAATTTCTCATTTGATCATGATGAGTGAAGGTCTTTGGGTACCTTATCATTGGATGTCGCCTTATCATCGAAAATCTCTGCTTTTCACATGAAACTTCCAAGTTAAAAGCTGATCCAGAATACAGATCTCGTGCTTTGTCGCATGTTTCAATGGCATGCCGTTTCAATGAGACCACTGACTGGCAGTGAGTGCCGGCGTCATTCGATGAGGCTCCGTGTCTTAGACCCATTGTAATCCGACATCCCGAGTTCTTGGCTGATGTTGAAGGAAAGATCTGTGCGCTGGGAGCGAATCAAGATCCTTACCTAGGTAGATAGATAGCTCTTTTGCTACTTAGCACGATGGATCAGCGCTAGCCAAGTACGAAGGCTGTGGCTACCATTGAAAATCTCTCCTTACTCCGTACTTGGCTCAGATGGCCGCATACAACTGGATATCGGAACATTTCACGGGTGCCTTCTCTGCGAGACAGCCCCAAATAATGACAAGTCTATCTCAGCCACCTGGCTGACGTTCTTGCATGTGAAAACTAGCATGCTGACGACAATGATTGAGGCTGCTGAACAGACTTTTCAGATAACTATGCATTGTCCATGCCGGTACTTATATAGAGCCAAGGCGCTAGTCGTTCCCAATATCCTCCACGAGTTGGCGAGCCTCGCGATGTTGCGCTTGGGCGATTTTCAACCAATCTGATGCACCACAGATAAGACATATAGACGATCTCTCCCTGCGCCCCTATTGATGATGCGAAAACGCCGCCCAGCCTGATGCCCAGCCTTGCCCAGAGCCTTGCCCAGAGCATGTTGCGTAGACTATGAATGCCAAGCCCCTCGAAATGGATGGCCTCTTCCAGGGACTGTTTTGATCTGCCGGGAAACTCCTCGCTTTAACACCACCTAGCGCCAAAGTATGCCAAAAGTATTATTTGTATACTTCGTGCGTTGGCTCAATTCTTTACTGTACCGTACTATCTCACCACCTGGATATTTTTGCTAGTAAGGCTATCTATAGCTCCGTATAAAATCGGTCTTATTTACGGAGGTAACTCACTCCACAATAGCTATGTGAACCAATCAGGTGTCTCCCTCAGCAGTTTTATAAGCGAAATGAGTATAAAAATATCGCGGTGGTGAGATTGTACGGTATCTCTCGGCATCCTACTTTGGAAGCGCCGTTGAGACTCCTGAGCGGCTGGGCGTTTCTTTCCAGTCTTACTTCTGTTGTGCATTCTTCCAAGAGATCCACAAAGGTCCCGCCAGCACGTTGGGTACATCCCTGAGAAGGTTTTGGGCATATGCTTCGACCGTTTTGGAGTGGCAACGGAAGCTATGAACACATGCTTGGCGATCGTCGGCCTAATTGATCTACCAATCCATGAAGAGCTCCATAGATTATCACTCATAATCTCCAGATCATTTAACATCAGGCTGGTCCTGTTCTTCAATAGTTTAAGACAAGAAAAACATACTCAACGACGCCAAACGAGCTACACTCATTCGCTCCAAAGCTGAAGCAACAACCAATTTCATTTCTCAATTTCTCAATTTCAATTCAAATAGAAAGACAACATTATGCAAAACACAAACGGCAGCATGCCTCCCACTCATAAAAAGAAGCTCAGTATCAATTTGACATCGTCCGTCAATGAACCAGTCACGAACAATCCATCGATGACACCATTCCTATACAACAACAGCGTATTTGACGTGAACAGAGATATCGAAGCCTCGCCGGCACCTTCTTATCATGGCAACGACGATCACTATAATGGCAACGACGACCACAAGTCGAAACATGATCCCGAAACCCTTTCCTGGTCAGAACGACTAAAACATTTTACTTGGGCCTGGTTTGCCTGTACAATGTCAACAGGAGGAGTAGCTTTCGTGGTCTCGGTCATCCCAAATCGACTCACTGGCCTGACCGAACTTGGAACGGTCATTTTTGTGTTCAACATTATTCTTTTCGTCACCTTCACCACACTCATGATCACGCGCTTTATATTACACCCAGGAACTCTCAAGCACTCGCTTGTCAACCCTCACGAAGGATTTTTCTTTGCAACATTTTGGCTCAGTCTCGCAACAATGATGACTAATACCACTGCATACGGTATTCCCAATTCTGGTCCATGGCTTGTCGAAGCTTTGTGGGTTGCCTTCTGGATATACACCGTCTGCGTTACACTCATCGCAATCTTCTACTACCATGTCCTTTTCACTGTCAAGAAGCTGGTGATCACGAACGTTTTGCCAGGATGGGTACTACCCATTTTCCCGGCAATGCTAGTTGGGACACTTGCTTCCGCCATCTCAAAATTTCAACCCGCACATCGCGCTTTACCGATGCTAGTGGCCGGCCTTGCATACCAGGGACTCGGGATGATGGTCGCGATGATGATGTACGCTCTCTACTTCGGTAGACTCCTGACTTCAGGATTGCCAGTCGAAGCCTCCAGACCCGCCATGTTCATCGCCGTTGGGCCACCCGCCTTCACAGCACTTGCTCTCATCGGAATGGCTCAAGACGTTGTCAAAACAGAGATCTTCCCAAACTATATCGAATTGATCGGCATCATCGACCAGACCCTCATCGCAGATATTTTTCAGCTTCTTGCACTTCTTACCGCTATATTCCTTTGGGTGTTCGCTTTCTGGTGTTTTGGAATCGCTGTAGTCGCAAATGTCGAAGCGATACCAAGGAATGACTTTCACCTCAACTGGTACGCATACGTCTTCCCCAACGTGGGATTCACAATCGCAACGATTCAAATCGGTGTCCGACTCGACAGTAACGCCATCACGCTGGTGGGAACGGGTATGGGCGCCGTGCTTTTCTTTCTGTTACTCCTTATCATGTTCTGTCATATAAAAGCTGTGATCAAAAAGGGGATCATGTGGCCAGGGAAGGACGAGGACTCTCATCATTGAGAGGAATTCGTTGGAGGAATCTTGTTCGAAGCGGAGTGGAAGTACATAATTTATAATGGAGGGAGGGTTGAGACGTGGGATATACAAGATGTGGCAATAGTCCTTGCCACAAGGCGCGGGAGGCCGTGATAACGGCGGGCAGGTAGGCGGAGGGTCGATGGTGGACGGCGTTTGGGAACCCGGTATGGCCGGAGAATGGAAGTTCGGGGGAGAAGCAAGTGTGAAATTAGACGGAAGGCATAGATAGAGGTTTAGAATGGAGCGGGAGTTCGGGTCATTTAGAAAAAATAGACATAGAAATAGTAGCAGGTATACTTTCATGTCTCAAACTGAACTTCAACGCGCTATAAATTCAATGCGATGCAAACGACAGCAGCTTGTTCCTGGTCCCATGAAACTTATAAGAAGGGGTTTTTGAGACAGCACTAGCCGAATGAGAAGATGAAATCTACGCAACATCGCGATATAACGAACTGGCGATATACCACGGCCACGACTTCGAGGAAAGTGACAATGAAACATGTTGGTAACGTAAAACTAGGAGCTGAAAGGCTTTTAAACCAACAGATAAAAGGTCTTGGATAAACATTGAACGATTAAGCAGTCCCGTCATTTTCTGTGCTGATATCGCGTAGACATGTCCTCTATCTCGACGCGTTGTGATCGTTGTGGCGAAAGAAGGGCCGCAAGGCCAGTTCCATCGACAGATGAAGCATTGGTAATATGATGGATCTGAGCAAATGTATCAAAAGACGCGCAAAGTCGAGTTCGTTTGTATTGTTGCACGAGTCGTTAGATGAGATGGAGGTCGTTCTCTTGGGGGGCGGGGTAGGGTTAGGGGAGGGGAAGAAATCCCAAAATGGTTAGAAGATTGCTTAGTCATTTTGGAATGTTTTGTTTTTCAACATCTGGAAAGGAGCTCTGTTGCATAATTACCCAACCAAGAGATATCTATGATCAGAAAAATTGGTCGTATTGAAGCCATATCATCAAGGCTTGAATGGTACGAAGTGTGAGTGGTCAAACAAAGTACTGTGCCGGGTATCAACAATGCCTCTGTTGCGAGAATCTCCGCAAAGCGGTTGACGCACGATGTTGGGATTGGGTAATTTATTTCTATCTATAACACTGTGACGATGTGGTGGAACAGCGGGAATCACTTTATCCATTCAGTTCTATGTCTTGACTGGCTTGCATTTGCCAATTTTTTGTTTTTTTAACCATCTTTGCATGAATTTTATCTTTCAACTGTTTCAAGGGTGTTGGGGGAATTCGCTAACTGAAATCTGCATTTAATCAGGGGCATCTTTCATTCAGCTCTGTGCTTCTCTTTCATCTATTCGAGTAACCTTCTATTGTGATCTTCTTCACAAAGGCTCTAAATCCTGTCCACTTTTTCGTTTAGACAAGCAACTTGAACGAGGGGAGAAGTTTGAGAAAGATGAGAAAAGCGAGAAGACTCTGTATTTTTTCAAGCGCAAGCGAGAGTGTGTTTCATACTCAAATTCTTGGATTGACAACAAGTTTTCGAGTTTAGAAATGAGACCTGCATTACATGAGGCCAAGGTTAGCTGAGGTACATCAAAAAAAGAAGACAATTTTTGAAATAGACGAGAAGGTAAAAGTTCAAATAAATAGCATAGTAAATGTGAAAGATAAGAGGAACAAACTATTCATTTAAAAACAGCGTGGCCCAGACTGTCGGGAGTTTGGTTGGGAAATAGGACTCAGGGGGTTGGATTATGGGTATTGAGTATTTACACGTAAGATTACAAGAGATAGTGATGCTATTCTTAGCATGGGAAGTCTGCTAATGTTTGGTAATATATGCTAACATTATGCTTACCAAACTTAGGGATGTCGTCGAGTGATGCCCGTCGTACAAAAGCGTCGTAAGCACGCCAGGATGCCATGTGACGTAGCATACCTTTGTGGAGGGTCGTCGCCTTGTTTTGATTGCAGCTGCGGGAAAGTGCAGTGAGTTGGCTTCTGCATGCGCTGTTGCACAATCACAATCATAATCTAAAGCTGGTCTTTGAAATCGGGCGCGTATTCCGCTTCACTGCTTAATGCCAATATCAGCCTTGCGATTTCTTATACCAAAATGATGTTTTGAGTAAACAAGTGTGGACGCCATCTGTTAAATTCAAGGCAAATAATTAGATGAAATCGCAATTTCCTTGCCTTCAGATGTGTGGCAAGACCGCCTTGTCGTTTCCTTTCTGAGTTGATTTGACTTTAGCATGAAGCTCCATCTAGGGTTTGCTTGCCAGTGAGCATATCATATATCAGATCTTTGAAAAGTACCACGGGTTTATGAAAGAAGTGGGATCCAGGATTCTCCCTGAACTGTTGGCATATCATATAGCTCTTCCATAGGGACGACCCCCAGTGAGGGTATTATATGCTAGGCGCATATCACACCCAAAACGGGTAACCCGACGAGCTTCTACAAGTACTATACAAATTTTAATCAGTTTCGCTCCAAAACGTCCCTAAGACTTGTGTACAATTTTACCTCTCTATACTAATGCAAGCGGTCACTTGTCCAATTTTCCGCCATCCTTCGAGGTATCCTTTGGGCCGAAGATAAGGAGGTACGCTCCGTACTGCAAGCAATCGCCCAGCTATCAGGCTGTTGTAATGTCGATGGGTCTGTGGGGTGGTGGGGTGCATTCCCCGCACTTCAGCACACTGGTCGTCCCTCTTGCACCGGTACTTTAGTAAATGCGAGGCACTTTCCCAAACAAAAAAGCAGTTACACTACCTATGATCGATCGGAATGATATCGAGGGTTGTCGCCTACCGGTACTAGATTGGTCATTCTTTGCATAGAGAGCCTCTTGTTCCTGACATCTACTCCTACTCTATTCTCTACTCAACGACATCCAAGATACCACGCGATACATCAGTGGAGCTTCGGTCCGTAGATGCAATTTTTTAACTTCCCCTGCGGCTTTGCAAATGAGGTATCGCCTTCCATCAGAGATACCACACTCCATCGGCATCGAGAAATAATTATTCCTTCCCACAGAGTCTCGTAGCAGTGATGGTTGCTTAAAGTGCTTCGACGCGGACCAACTACCTTTTGAGTTCAGCGGGGTGTGGTCTTCCAGGCTTCTAGAAGATCACCCGAGGTAGGGCCCGGTGGGGGGCCCTCGGCTCGGACACGATTGGCGTATGTAGATCTTCAGACTGTTTTGATTTGCAGACCAGTCCAAAACTTGCTTCTAATACCTGAGGACATCCGGAGGTCCAGCACCATATTGCACTCGTTCCGTAGACGGGACCATGCGGCCCGATAAGCTTCTAGAGTAAATGCAAAGTACAAGGCAAAGTCCATCGTATGCGCACCCGAGTTATAAGCTTACATGAAGGTAGCACCAAACAGGTGGACCTTGCATATTTTGCGGGGAATCGTTTCACGTGGCCGAAGTCATCCGAAGTCATCTTACAGTTAATATATTATCTGATCGTTAACGTTCACGCGCAACCCACCTGACTTCACCGGACTCACCGGCGCACGAGAAACGAGAATCGATTTTGGTTCTTGCGAAACACACGGGGTCGCTGAATGTGTGATAAGATACGCAGGCAGGCACTCGTATTAATGTACCTAGTATTAACCTCACCGCAAGGGCGCTTGAAAGTTCGGAGTTGATCTCTAAATAGTGTCAAACCGCCAAGATGAAATAATTGCAGCTAGACAAGGGTAAGGAACAGGCGATTTTGATTCATTCTCGAGTAGACTGTTCTAAAGTTTAAATTTTGTACTGTATAACGTTGAATGTTTAGGATGAAATTTCAGGGTCCGACCTGGTCCTTCACGAAGTTAGGTTCTGACAGCTTCCAGCTGCTAAGTTCTGACTAGCCAGTGTAGCTAATACTGGCTAGCTGCCGTACACTTCTTCTCTTGCGCGCCAATAATGATGCTGGGATTCTTGCAACTATTCAACTTATTAGCCTCCCAGGCTGATATCTTGTTCAGTCTGCTGCCACCTACGCAGCTTGTATCGTGGTGTTGAGCTGGTCTGGTGTCTCCTCTCATTTGACTTGCAAATTTATGGAGTACAGTAAAATTTACGGGGTTGCTGCCGTAGTTCTTGACCTTGTCTGATCCACAATGGTCTCTTGTCCAAGCTTCTCAAGTGCGGTGTTGATTCGCTGAGTCCCCTTAATCCCCGGCTTCGTTGTGCCCTAGTCCACACCATCGGACCATCCATGATTCGAGAATCGGTGACAAAAGAGACCCGCAAAAGTATGAACTGTATACGAAGACCTTCGTAGCTTCTCAACAGCTCATGACCCTTTTAGTCATTGCATAAGCCTTATCTTGCCTCTCTTGATCGTGGTAACCGCCCTGCCCTCGGCGCAACCGCCGTGTCTGTTGTCTTTGCCCCTGTAGTCCACCTTTTAGACCCGGACTTGAAATAAGACTACGAAGGGTTCTCCCGAAGTGCATGCCATATTTTAGCTCCTTGACCCCGCAATCTCGATTAAAACCACGTTCTTTCTTGGGGGGGTTTCTGCTTCTGCCTCTGCTCCCGTCTTCGTCTGCCAATTTAGTCTAATATAAGTCTTCGAATTCGCAAGAGATTCAGACATCTGCGTCGACACTTTCCCCCTGAGCCGCCAATCGCCCGTAATTAGGCTTCCATGGTGCAACCTCCCCTCCCCCACCATCGCTATACGCATACCGAAGAACATTCCCGCTCAGGGATCTATTCCTTGTACTCGCGTACGCAGGCATTGTGCCCACCCCCAAAGTTCGGGCAAGACCTTTTACTGGCGTCTCACACGAGCTGCAATCCCAGTCCCAGTATTTCTGGGAACGTTAACGCCTTCTCTTATTTGACCTGCTGCTGCTCCGAAATAGCAGGATTTGGATCTTGGATGTTGGATCTCGCAACACCATCATCTTGAGAATACATTCTTCCAAAGACGCCAGCCGTGATGGTATGCGCATCGCGGTGTGAATGGCCTTTATGATGTGACGAATTTATTTGCTGTTCACCTCTGGATTCTGTTTTCTATTTTTTGCATTTGTTCATCATGACGAGCAGGCCGCAGGTTGGCATTGAACGGTTACCAGTGCGGCGCATGAGCAATGAACCTCGGGAGTCAATGAATTGCAAGTCGTGTCGCAAACGGAAGGTTTGCTTGTAACATCAAGGAGTTCTTCCGCGTTGCTGAAAGTTTTTCCAGATAAAATGTAACCGGCTACGGCCCACCTGCGAAGCGTGCCAGGTCTTCCAATGTCCCTGTGTATATGGTCGGCTTTATGATTCTAGCTTCGGTTTCGGCACTAACATAGCAACAGATGCGGTCCCAAAGAAACGAGGACCAAAAACAGATGTACTGGAAGCGTTGTTGAAAAGGGTTGATGGTTTAGAAAAAAGGTTGAAGGATGAAAAGTTATCGAACTCGCCGCATAATGAGAATGGTTCAGGGCCAAACAAAGATATTTCCCTTGCGGACTCGAAGCCCGAACGCCCCCAGCTCGACACAACCAATGTGGCCGACGAGATTGCTGTATATTCGCCAGCTCCCAGCAGGTGAATAACACCATAAAGAAAACGAAAGTCAAGCTAATAGCTCGTAGTGCAACATCTCCTGTCGTGCAAACAGATTCACTCCTCAATACATACTTTGCGCGATGTCACGGCAAATCATACTATATCCTAGACGAAACGAACACGCGGCAACGAGTACAACATAACCAAATTCCCTCATATCTTCTTTCCGCCATATATGCTGTTAGTGCGAGGTAGGTGAAGATGCGACTGAACAGTCAAGGAATCTGCTAAAGGAATCAGGTATACGCCACACCCAAATGGCTACCATGCGGCGGTCAGACTCAGCGAAGACTATGCCACACGGGCTCGAAGCGAGCTCGACATCGACGACCCTTCCATTGACTGTTTGCAAACGCTCTTACTACTAACAATGGCCTTCACTGCAGCAGGAAAGGGGAAAAAAGCATACATGATGTTAGGTACGAGGGGTATTTGCTAGGGCGTATCTCGGTTGCTAACATGAGAATAGCAAGCGGTATTGGTATGGCGCTGGCGCTCGAATTGCATCGAGAGTTGGATAACAAAAGCCCTTTGACTCCTGTCGAGAAAGAAATGAGACGACGTTTGTTTTGGACATGTTACCTTATGGATCGCTTCACCGCATGCGGATCCAAACGGCCTTCATTGATCGCCGATAGATCAATTGTCCTGAAACTTCCTTCGTGGTCACCGAGTCCTTCCTCTCTTGCGGTTGAAGGAGAATTCTTTCAAATCGGTTCTAATCTACAATATCATGGTGCATCCGGGAAGAAATGTCAAGGAAGTAGTGGCATGGTAATAGACATTGTTCGCATTCTCGGAATCACGAATCGGTATCTTGCGGCAGGTGGGGTGAAAGGGGACAGCCATTTCCCTTGGCATTCATTGTCAAATCTCTCGAAAATCCGCCAAGATCTTGACGTCTGGGCATCTGGGACCCAAGATGTCTTCTCGTCCGTCGATACTCTCTTTGGCCAACCTGATAGCACAACGCTTGTGCTCAGCAAACTCGTATACCACCTCATTCATTGCTTGATCTACCGACCTTTCCTTCCGATCGACCTCGCTGAACTAGCTGGCACTGGCCAACATCAATCATGGCAGATTGAAGCTACCAATCTCTGCTTTCTGCACGCAAACGCCATTGCAGAATTGGTAGAGTTAGGTAAGTAGTTTGAGTAGAATAATCCGATCGGCTCTGACACTTCTTGAATCAGGGAAACAATCGCCATCGATGGAATGGCCCGCTTTCGTTGGCTATTGTATTTGTACTGCAGGAACAGTTCACGTTCACGGAACGCATTATAGAGGAAGTCGCGATGGCGAAGTCTTCTCTGCATCTGCAGAATTTCTATCAAGAGAGATGCAGCAATTATCAGAATTGCGGTATGCATGGTCTTCTGTACAGCACCAACGCGAAACTTTACAGACAATATACGGTTGTCACTCGGAACTCGTCAAGTCTTTGGCGAGTAATCCGATGCGGTATAGCCCTGTCTTCCATTTGGAGGACTTCTTTGATCGGTATAACGATCTTGGACAATTTGTCGACGGGGCTCATATCTCCTTTGCCGACATACTTGTCGATCCAACGCAGGAACCCTACACAGGACATGATCTCTATGCACCCCGCCCTGGCAGACCATCTGAAACTCCCGGACCCGCGACTAATGGGAAGCGCAAGGCCTCTTCTGCCTCACGCAGGAAACATATCGACCTTAAAATCGCACACCGGAATTCTCATCCTGAAAATTCCTTGATTTCACCCGATAGCACGATACGCGAAGGCGATCGAAAAAGGACATTAGATGGGAATTTAGCAATGCAGCAGCCGCACACTGCGTTGGACCCGCCACCTTTAACACCATTTTCTCACACTACCAGTATACCGAATCTTTCACAAACACCATTCTCACCCCCCTACACATTTAACTCGTTGAACCCGCCTGAAAACTACGATCCGATGTTTGGCATGCCTCAGATGGGCTTTGGATATGGCAATGGGATGGGTACAGCTGCCCCAGCGATCGGAGAGGGAATGACTCCTGGCGGAAGGAGTAATGGGGAGCATAGCAGTAACAATGGCGCCAGCGGCGATGAAAAAGACCCTTTTCTCAGTCTTCTCGAGCAATTAGCAGAGAATGAACATAGCCGTGGCGGGCCGAGTGAGCTGGATTTCTTTCTCAGCGGCGGGAATAGTTGAGCGGTCGCTCAAAGAGGTTATGCGTGGGTGCAACATGGTGGCGGCAAAGGAAAACTTAACAGGAGTTCTGGGTATGGGTGGCTATAGTGAGCAATTGGGAGTCTTGGGGTGCATGTTTTAAACGATAGGACACCGTCAATGGCAGTGTATAGTACGAGAGATGAATACAGACGTCTGCGCAGCCGCATTGCGGCTAAATGAATATACTTATTGAATCTTCTATATACCGCATAGTGGCGTGCTTACCCACACGTGCGGCTTGTTGTTGAGTCATACTTTGGAGAAGTTCCAATGATTTTCAGTGCGGCAATTGGGGGATAAGTGCCAAGCACGTATTCTTGTCAAGCAGCGAATATCCTCTACAGTATGATCAAAATCTGTACTGTATACGGAGTACGGATTCTCTGGCGGCCCCCAAACATTACACGCGGCCCGAACCTTGTTGACGGATACCGGCACCAGACGCAGCTGAGTGATTGGGCAGTCCACCAGCAAGGTAGAATTGACCCCTTGCACTTACATTGCACAAACCCTAGCGCTACACACCCCCCTTTTCATCTCCGACCCCGCCATGGGACGACCACACTGAGTCACTGACCAACAACTGGGCTGAGAAATCCTCGTACGGAGACACAGGGGCCCTAAAGGAACTTAATTTACCAAACTTATTTTAGACTCCATTCTACTTCGTAACACCCACTTTCAAGATGCAACCCGAACGAGTTGACCCTAGTACGGATCTCCCCATGGTAAGCTGGGGACTTCCGTTCCCAGAGGCGTGCGTAAAACATATGAGCGATACATTACACACTTCAAAAGCTTATATCATTGTATCTGGTTCTCTGAGCAGAGATACCGATGCATTGCAACGACTTTAAAAGTGCTCTGGGGGAAGACAGGGTGGCAGGTGTGAGAAAAGGAATGACGCCCATACATTGATTGTACTCTGAACTCTTAACAATAACGAAGGATGTCAAGAGAAGTGGTGCCGACTGCATTGTTACACTTGGAGGAGGTAGTCTGATAGATGGTGCCAAGGGAATGGTTTTCGTGAGTCAAGCTATCCATATACTTTCTTCTGATCGAAACTCCAGATCAGCTGATTACTATAACGAGTATTAGGCACTTGCAAACGACATTGATCTCGAAGACATCGAGGGATTCGATATCTTCTTAAGGGAGAGCATGCCCTGCATCACCTGGTCCCAAAGTCATTATCTAAGATCCAGAACTCACGCTCACAGTACCCGAAAAGGTATGACTAAGTACAGGTCTCAGAATAGTTGATCATTGCGTGGAGACTATATGCTCCAGCAACCCGAAGCCCAAGGGAACTGTTTACTCGACTAAGGGATTGGGGCTGCTCATCCCGGCACTACTGAGAACGAAACAGGACCCGGCGGATTCGGATGCTCGACTGAATGCCCAGAAAAGAGGTGCGGAGAGTATGAAAGCTCATTTATTGGAGGGCGTACATGTCGGTACGTCCCAATCCTTGTGATGGACATACACGTATTTTGAGTTGAAATCAATGCTGAGGTGGCCTCTTAATCCAGGAGGATCGCATGGAATCAGCCATCATAACCCTATTGTCGCGTCAGTGTTGGAAAAACACAGCCTGACTCGCGAAACTAGCGATCTTGGAGATGACCTTTCGAGCTACATATCTTCCTCAGAATCCCAATCCTTTTTTGGGTTGACCTTTCGGCGAGATGGAAGAAATGCCGAAGTTCGAGCTTCATGGTGTGGTTCATCATGTTATTATATACATTTTTTCTTTCACTTAATTACCTAACTCCTCACGAAAAACCCCTTAATAATCCGTCATCCCCCCATCTTCCCTAAACAATCCAGTACTCTGCCAATTAAAGCCGGCAGAATCACTAAACATCAACTCGAACAATGCATCCACACCCATCTGATCTGGCAACGCCTCTGCATTGCCTGCATACAGCTGTTCCGGTTGACCCCCACTGCCGTTGATTTGAGATGTGCCAGTGCCGGCATTCCCCAGGATGAGGGCGAAGACGTTTTGGATGATGCTGCGGTAGTCGGCGGCGGGGTGCGCGGTGGCTGAGGTGCGGCAGATGGTGTCGAAGATCTGGGACGCGAGGGATGTGAGGCGGTACAGGAGGGATGGGGGACGGGGGATTGAGGGCGCGGTGGTTATGCTGGGGGAGGGGTGGGGAAGGAGGTGGAGGATTCGGAGTTCGTCTGTGAGGGGTGGAAGTTGTGTGTTAGTAGGTGGTGTGGTGTGATGTGGAAGTTATGGTTCAAGAAGAAGAGGAAGACGTTACCATCTATAGCTCCTCGCGCATAGCACAACACCAGAAAAACAGCTGCAAAACTATGGGTAATCCACGACGAGTCTACGGAAAAGCGGAATCTGCCAAGTGCCGTCTCGTCAATGGTAAACGGGCAGAGTGGGAACGATGTGAGAGAGTAAGACTGCCGTGTCCAAGACTGTGTGTTTGTCTCGTTTGAGAGAGCGAATATCGTTTGAGCTGCCGCTAGCAGGCTTGCATCGAGGGCTTGCAGTAGAGACAGTTGCATGGGCTCGTGGGCCTGCTGTTTCCGCGATAGCATACTTCCGAGGCCAGCACTGTTGATGGCGAGGCGATACGACTAAGAGCAAGTAAGCAAACATCCGCTAGAACTTAGAATGCAGGCTGGAGGATCCACGAAGATGAAAGACGTACCCGTAAGGACGTGAACGGCATTTGATTGTGTTGGCAATTATCTACAGCTTTGTTAGTCGACTGTTCCGAGGACCGGGACTGGGATGTTGAACTTCTCGTGAGCTTTGAAGTCCAGAAGCTATACGAAGTCAGAAAGAAACACGCAAACAGGCAAGCCGTAACTGGAGAATACATAATGCAGCATGCAAACTTACGCCTCCCAATTGTCAAACTCGGCATTTGCCTTCTTCAAGCTCGCAGCATCCAAGACCCTCAATCTTGGATCGCCACTACTTTTTGCGGCCCTTTTTATGATTGCCACCAACTCGCTAATGGCTGCGACTCTCGAATCATCCGGCTGAAGGGCTTTCTCGTGCGAAGCAAAGGTTCGCCCAATCATCGTGACTGGTTCTGGATCTACTGACGCTGGCAAGCCAGCGGAGAGCATCAGATGACAGTCACAGGTCAAGACGTTAATCCATACTCTTAGTCGAGAAAAGTCTTCCTGTTCTAGACAACTGGAGTTGGGCGTTGAAAAGGGGGTTACGGCTGAGCGATCGAGTCCGAGAAAGATCGAGTAACGGATTGCAAGACCTAAAACACTCCAGGCCGAAATATCGTTGTCTTGTTTCGTTTTTAGTCCGCCGTTTTGTGCATGTGATGAGGATTACTTACAACGAGTCTGGCATATTCCTGGTGTCTCCTGTTCGACTGGCATCCACTGGATGTAGAGGAGCAGTGATCGGATATGGTCAAGGGTCACATCAGATAGGATAGGTTGGAGAAGAAGGCGAGACAGGCTTGAATCTAGGAGTGCAACGATAGCGCGGTAGTTTTCATGTAAGCCTTGGTAGTTTGTCCGACTGCTAATAATGAGTGTCCATTCTTCAATGCAACTGGTGCCAAGGACAGTTTTACATACCGGTCGGCAGTCTGCCAGAAACGTGCGCCTACGGCGCAAACTGATAGGAAGAGTACAGGGCTGGCTTCACGAACAAGAGCTGCTGAACGCTGGCTTTGGATGCAGAGAAACGGGGCCATGGGATGACAATGTTCAAAGAAGCTGTTGATGGATTAGTGATTGGAGTTTCGTAATGTCGGAACAGGGGGTCAACAAACATATCGAAAGACTGCTGGGCTTCTTCCATGGTAAAAATCCCCTGAGTTACAGGGTCGAACACAGATGCTCGCCGTTCTTGTCTACCTATCATAGGAAATATTGGGTCATAAGTCATATTTCGAGATGCCGAAACATTCTCTTTCGACAACGATGCGATATTGCGAAGCGTAGACATCGGTGTATCGAGATCAACAGCATCCATGGTGAAAGGGGTTTCTGCAGGGAGTTGGGAAGGAGACGTTGAACTACCCAATGCCGATGGATTTGTGACATGGTTTGAGAGTTCTTGCCCCCGAGTGGTCGCGGGAGAAAATATTCTTGATTTATCCCGTCAGCATTCTCAACATATTACGCATACAATCGCTTACTGGTTATTGGCTTCACCGTTGAGACCTGGCAATGACCCATTAAATACATCACCACTACTGATAAAGCCTTCATTTGGGGGATTTGTGTCTCGTAAATTCATGTCGCCATTCTCTGGAATCCGGTCTGCGTTTTTGAAAGTCCTCAGGGTTTCTTCAAGGTCCCCAATCCGCTTCTGGTGTTCTAGTAATCTAGCAATTGAAGTTGTCAGTTATATTTCAGCCGCAATCCAATTCTTCATGGACAATTACTGTTTCTGAATCTTCCCAACTTTCTTGATGGCGATTGCACTGTTTTCTACTTCGTTTTCGAGGGGGGTGGTGGTAAAAGAGCATGTAAATCCCAACTGGCAACACCGTTGACAAGGCTGCAAGGGATCGGTATGGGATTGCCCATCACACTTTTGTTTACGATTTCGACACTATGGAAGTCGTTAATTGTATTCCCAGCGAGCTCACGTGGTAGTGAGGTTGCTCTACCTGGTTGCAAGCGCGCGAGATCCTCCGCAGTTTCCCCGCGGGGACACCATCATCTTGAGACAGGTCGTTCTCTTCTCTGCTGCGTCGCTGACTCATTTCCAAACCAAAAAAACTTTCACATGCTTATGATTATACTTATGATTATTGAAGTTGCACAAGATTGAGGCTGGTTAGAGAGTCTCCAGGAACTCGGGTGGAGTGGGTATAGGAGATAAGATAAGGAGAAAGACCTCAGGTCTCAGGGTCAATGGTGGGATGGGGTAGGGTTATCCATGCTTCTCCACGACCATGCTCCTGGTACAAATAAAATGAGTAGTCGTCTGCAGCGAGCAGCTTGCTTCCAGACTTCCAGTGAAGTTGAAGTTTCTCTAATTTTTCTTAAAGCCAAAGATTGGAATACCGCGTGGCATTGGACGAACAACAGCAAGCCTATTTCTGCTATCTAACGTCCTTCGCTCAGGAAAAGACCCTACTGGATAGTTGAAGAGTGGGTCATAAGTCCCGGCATAGATACGGACTCTACCGTACCTATCTTATCGAGATGAGTGAGCTGAGTGAGCTTACAGAGTCCTTTCATCTATCAAATGTCGGAAAATTAACCGATATTGCCGATGCTTTACTCGACTCATCGGAATACTTACCTATTGCTCCAAAAAGATGAACCCTGCTATAGATACCAGCCTATAGATACAGCATGAACTTAATCCTACTTTGTATATCTCCCTCGTTTCCCCTTTCAACCTTGTGCCAAGTCTGTTTTGCGCGCGAAAATGGCCTCAACCGAAAGCTCTCCCACGCTTGACAGAAAGCCATCAGATGAAAAGCAGGTCGGCTTCAATGCGCCTATAGACATCACGGGTATCGATGCCCCGGCAGCCTTGGAGCCATCTCATGCGGCTGAGTACTTGGAGTTTCTCGAACTGAAAGAGCATTTTGAGTCGGATCCGAAAGCTTATAAGGCACTTGTTCGACGACGTAGGTTGTGCCCTTGAAGATAATAAATCCGACCATCAGATGTGCACTAACGGTTCACCTAGTTGACCTTAGGATCATTCCCATGCTGTTTTTATATTACCTGTTGAACTCACTTGATAGTAAGTTTTCCCCCAAACGCCACTAGGCAGCGACTTGGTCGGATAGACTAATAATGGAATGCATAGAGTCAAATGCCGGCAATGTTAAGGTGAGATTATAATATTATAACAAAGCTGTGATTACTAAATCATCATAAATAGATCTACACTTTTCTCAAAGATACGCATATGACAGGTCACCAATTCAACCTGGCTTTGACATGGTATTTCTTCAGTAAGACCTATCATAGAAACATATAGTTACAATATCTGACGTATTTACAGCTTATGCCTTTCTCGAGGCTCCTTCAAAGTAAGTTCTAGCAGAAACTATCAAATCGCTGCGCTAATGTGATGAATAGCATGTGCATGCGAAAATTCGGTCCAAGACTATGGTTATCAGGATTGGTTTTCTGTTGGGGAGCAGTAACACTGGGAACGGCTTGGGTGACAAGCTACCATGGCTATTGTGCTGCACGAGTCATGCTTGGTGTTTTTGAGGCCGGTCTATTTCAGGGTATGTCAAGAACTATTCCTAATGATCCATCACGAGCTAATCAGACTTTTGTTTAGGTTGTGAGTAGTACACCTTTCTTGCTCCCAAAGAACATGTGTCTCATCATAACCATAGGTTTTTATACCCTCAGCTGCTGGTATGTCAGTGGGGAGCTTCAGACGCGATGTGCGTATTGGTATTCGTAAGTCATCATTTCTACGCACAGCAAAATCTACTTGTCTAATTGTATTTTCAGGGCTACCATGGTCTCCGGGGCATTTGTGAGTCTGATAGGGTACAAAATGGAGGTTTTTCTGACAAGTGGTTTTAGGGAGGGCTTCTCGCTTATGCCGTCGGTGGTTTACAAGGCCGACTGGGATTGAAACAATGGCAGTAAGGTCGAAAATCCCTCCGAATCCAACAATAACTGACTGATAATAGATATCTGTTCATTATTGAAGGTGCATTAACCATGTTCTTCGGCCTCCTCGGTTTTTGGCTGTGTGTAGACTTCCCGGAGTCCTGGTCGTCCAGATTTTTCAAGGCAGATGAGATGAAATTCCTTCAGCTCAGGGTCAAGTATCAAGATGGCCCGGTTTCGCCAGACGAGGGATTCAGATGGAGTGCATTCTGGGAAGCAGTTAAAGACTGGAAAACCTAGTAAGTTGCTTGAAACCAGATCATTTTTGCATCTACTAATTGAATTCAAAAGTTTCATTGCCTCTTTGTTGGCATTTGGAGGTTCCGTTCCCACATACTCGTAAGTCCTAACCCTATTAGTCTCTTTATTAGGAGTCGGGAGCAACTAACTCTTACATACTAGCGTCAACTACACTCTCGCAACCATGGTCAAATCTCTCGGCTACTCGTCTATTAAAGCCCAAGCATTAACAGCCCCTCCATATGTTTTTGCATGTGAGGAGATTATCTACCTACAGAGTTCCAGGATGAGCTGACGGTGTTGTAGTCTTTTGCGTGATCGCGATTGCAATATACTCGGATAAATACCGCTGCCGTGCTCGCTCGCTCCTCATTAGTTGTAAGTTCATCAGCATCTATTTGACCGTTGGAAGGATCAATACTAACGAACGTCTTTCCTAGATGCCATCGGGACTACTGGCATCGTGATTCTGTGGCCATGTTTATACCACCAGAATCTTGCAGGAGTATCATATTTCGCCCTTTTCTTGGTCGTTGCAGGATATAACATGCAGGTAAATTATGCGCATTCCCAAAAAGAGAAGTTAAGGGCTAATTCGGTCATCCAAGGCACCTGCAGTTGGCTCTTGGCTTGGAACAAATGTGCGGAATCCAGCCAAGCGGGCAGCAGCTATGGGATGGCAGTCTACATTCGGTCAGGTAAGCGAATTAATCCTCCCATCGTCTTGCGCAAGTGGAATAACCTTTTACCTGCTATTAGCTTTTAGGTGGGACTATTGGCGCAAATATTTTCATTACCAAAGAGGCACCGACGTATAAGTCGGGATTTATTATCCTCCTCGTATTAGTGAGTTTATCTTATTGAACGATTGCAAGGTGCTCTCAATTGACTGACTTTCTTTGTAGGTCATAGTTGGTGGAGTTGGTGCTACCATCGCAAATTGGTATTTTCTCAGGGCTTCTAATCTCAAGAAAGACAATATTCCACTGGAGGAGTTGGAAGGAAAATACACGGAACAGCAGCTTTCGGAGATGGGAGAGCACTCTCCATATTTCAGGTACGCTTGTATGGTCTTTGTATGTTGAATTGCTTTGGCTAACGATATCCTTTGCAGATATATCCTCTAACGGGCAGTGGGAGACAAACTGACCCGACTTGTAGCTTTGGGATTTATAGTCAATAGGATAGAATACAGGATGATAATTAGAAGCCTCGGAAAATCAAATATCAATTGGATACGAGGACTTTGCACATTTGTCCCGAAATTACAAAACGGGCGCATTTGACTACCATCGGCACTGCCTCAACTCATATTGACATTCCCGCGATTATCCTTTCGAGTTTACATTCATCACCAGTTCATTCTTTTCGGTAAAGCTCCCAACCTTGACACCATCCATACCCTAGTTATATTTCTCTCACTCTCCGTATGTCTTATCTGCTACCGTTGCTATACCTATAAAAAGTGGAGAGATACAATGAGTATCGGGACAATCGGACATGAACCCGAGAAGCGTTTCGTGCTAAAGCAGAGTGTCACTAAATGAGACAAGGTAGATTGTTCTGATAATAATCTAAAGAGACGAACTAGAAGGAAAGCTAGTCTTGTGGCTGAAGCATAAAAGTGTAAATAAGTCATCTCAAGGAAATCCTCGTCCAGAATTCATAAGAATGGCCTCTCATACTATAAACGGGCTTTCCGTGAAGCCCATTCTCGGTGATTTCGGTGCAGAAGTATCGGGAGTCGATTGGACTCAAGTTCCGCTTCCAGAAGATCTCATAAGAACCGTAAGTACGCTCTACAACCACCTTGTTATATTTTAAAAGTCTAATTCATAACCGGTTTCGTTTCAGTTAATCCGCATACAAGATAAATATGCAGTCCTTATCTTCCGAGACACAGGCCTTGACAACGAACGACACGTCGCCTTTTCAGCGCAACTAGGGCGTCTGGAGGTGAACCCCGCCTGGGGAGGGAGCGAGAGAGTCGGGACTCCGTATCTGTTCGACGTCAGCAATATTGAATCGGATGGATCTTTAGTGAAGAAGGATACAGTCAGTACCTAACCGCTTGGACTCATACCAACACCAACACGCGCACTCAACCCTATGATATAGGTGTATCTGAACTGATGTGAAACATACAAGAGACGATGGCACCACGCGCTAGGTAACGCATTATGGCACACCGATTCTTCATTCAACCAACACCGCTCAAAATACTCCCTGCTGCTCGCCCACGCCGTCCCGGGCACTGGTCAAGGCAACACCGAATTCGCCGACACGCGACGCGCGTGGAAAGACATCCCAGCCGTCGAGAAGCCAAAGTTGCGCGGGTTGGTCGTTGAGCATGAGTAAGTCTTAATTGCTCAATCATACCTTGCCTACAGGGAGTCAGTCATCCGACGGTCTAGAGAGATAGACCGAAAGGTGAACGAGACTGATAACAACCAGAGCTGACTAGAGCGCGAAACAAGGCTCTGGCACTCACGCAAACTGGCCTCGCCTGAGGAATACGAAGAACTGACATCCGAAGAACGGAATGTAAAACCTCCTTCTTACCACAGGTTAGTCCAGCAAGGATCTAGTGGACACGAGACGTTCTTCCTCGCCGCGCATGCCAAAGCGCTGTTTGACGACGATGGGAAGCGGCTTGCGGACAGCCAGAAGATGGTTTGGGATCTCATTGCTCATTGTACACAAACCAAGGTAAATACATAAATACATAAAACCAGTATTTATTTATTTATTTATTCCCCAAAAACATACTAAGGAGGGAAGGAGGGAGATTCAACGTACGGTACTGATGTTTTATAGTATACTTTCACGGCTGAGTGGATATCTGCTGGCACGCTGATGTGGTGGGATAATCGGCAGTCCATGCACCGCGCAAGTCCGTATACAGAGAAGATGGGAGCTAGGGACCTTAGACGCTCGACTGTGATTGATGATGGCCCGTTTGCATTCGGAATGCCACCGAAAAACTGCAAGTCTAGTAATTGAGGTAGCTAGCCACGCAGAAATTGAAAAGCTGGCCCAGAAAGAAACTTTCTATATGTATTTGGAGCCTTGATAATATTAGAGAGAGAGATATATATATATCTAGGCAGATAAAATGTAGTTTGAAATAAATCTCATATAGTAAGGGGCTTCGCTAATCACTAGCGCCAGACTCAAGGAAACATCTTGGGTTATACATGTCTTTCTCCGCCTCCTTGATGTCAAGTTATTAACCTATGGTTAAAGTACGTACCATTGGTATACAAACCTCGTAGCTCCTAGGAGTATCCTCAACAAACAACCACAGAACTTCCATTCCCAGGAAATTAATTAACACGCACAGAGCACGAACGACCTAGCCGGCCAGTCCAGTCCAGTCACAATAGAGCAGCTTCATCTCCAAACCCGGGCCCCCAAGGGAATATCCTGTCCTATCCTATCCTCAGCTCGCATGGCCTACAACGTCAATCCCACCACCACAACGCTCACCCTCTTCCACCACTACCTCCCCGACCCCTACGAAGACCTATCCCCCCAAACATAACTC